ATTTGATAAATTCAATACCCCAAAGAATTTAAGGCGAATATTTACTGATGTTAGAGCTACAACACAGCTTTGTAAATATGTATCATTAAAGAACTGTATTCAGTATAAAAATTAAAAATCAACATTAAAATTAACAAAAACTTTTTTGTAAATGTAGGTACATACATGCGAGTATTTATGGCACGTAGTTATAAACAACTATTTCAATTGAAACTTCTTTGAAAACTTCCTTCAACAAGTCCTTGACTTTTGGCCAAACCAAACCATCCAAACCGCAGCCAATGCGCGGTATAGCCAAATTGTTTACACCATGTTCAAGCTGCCAACAAAGTGAACAAATTAATATAAATAATGAGCACTTACAAAAATAAGTTGGTGGCGTACATACTAGTAAATTCCACAGAGCAACTATTTACATTTGCTTAATTAAATACCTTACCATATGTCTTTTCATGGCATCTAATGAATCGTGCAGTGTTTGATATGTTGGTTTGCCCCAGCTACTTTGCTTGGTGACCAAGTAATAGATGAAGCGCGACTTGTCTTGTAAAATAGCCACACCACCAGGCTTTACATTCTGTTGCTTTAGCTTAGGTATTTGTCCAAACTTGTTTCTGAAAAGAATAAATGACCACATATTACAAGATCGTAAATAAATAAACAACGCTAGCTGGAAAGCACAACAACACTCACCTAAATTTAACAGCGATACCTTTACCAAGTCGCATATCGGCTGCTACACAATGCGCCATGCAATATTTCTCATCAGCACTAAATAAATCGCCAGTTATTTCCTTTATTTGGCAAGTAGACATGGTACCACTTCCAGAAAACAGGTATTTTTAAAAATTAAAATGCAGCTTTTAATTTAGAATCTAAATTTTAGATCAAATAAACAAATCGAAATTCCCGCGGCACCGAAAAACAGCTGTTTCAATTTAACATTCACAATAGTTCAGCATGGGGCAGCGAACAAAGGTGGCGCCGGCATTGGTACCGCTACTTTGGTTTTGCCGATTTTGACAGTTCTGCTTACTTGTAAATAAACCTTTGTTTACAAGTCAGCGGCAAAGAAAAATTTGAACTATATAAGTGAAAAACCAGTTTAAATTGTGTTAATTTGCAATTTGTGAGTGATTTTTGAGTTCATTGCTTTGCAATTTAGGCTGCTGCAGAAACATGCTCCAGCAGCATCTCTGCGGGATTGATTAGTTAACTTGCTAATGGAGGCTGCGTGGAGCAGAAAAAAATCATTGTGAGGAAATGCTGTTAATATAATAATAGAGACACATTTCGGGAACGGCTTTGCCGTGCCCTATGTACACAAAATGCAGCGATTCGTCCCAGCGCTACACTTGCATCTACGCTTCTTGCATCTTGACGGGTGTCGCAATTTAACACACAGCACTTCATTGTATTAGTTTTTACGCAGTCCTCAACTCAAAAATCACTCACAAATCGCAAATTAACACAATTTAAACTGATTTTTCACTTATAATTAAAATTTCTCTTTCGCTGATTTGTAAACAAAGGTTTATTTACAAGTTACCACAACTGTCAAAATCGGCAAAACCAAAGTAGCGGTACCACTGACGGCACCTCGTTTGTTCGTTGCATCGTGCCACAGAAATTTTTGAAAGCAAAAATATGGCAACACCAAAGTCTATCGGTTTTTGTTTTCCTTTCGCAAATCGCAATTTTTTCTAGTCAGCTGATTTACATTACTATTTATTTTGTGGTAAGGAGATAAATTTTTTTTGCATTACTGCGCAAAATTTGCAAACAAATAATACACAAATCAAAAGCAGGTTAAAAGGATTATCTTGCATCTAAATGAAGCTGAAATGAGCTTTTTACTAGAGCTTATACAAGCTTTTATTCAAAAGATGCTTGCCCTGCTATCGTTTGGCCAGAAAACCATTACCAACTCGCTAAGTATTTATATAAAAACAAATACGGGACGCAC